TAATAACTTGAACATAGTTTTGTAGGTTTATTTAGATGAATTAGGTATAAAAATTTAGTTTGATGTGGGGTTTTTGGGGTAGTCAGGAACGGATTAATTCATTTCCCTTTATTTCTTATGGGGAAATTAGCTTCGGAATACGAGTTTTCGGAATACGAGGCGTCTCCAGGAACCAATTAAACTCTTAAACTGAGGTATGCCTGTATATATATGTGTGTGTGTGTGTGTGTGTGTGTGTGTGTGTGTGTGTGTGTAATAATTACCTAAGTGTAATTACCTAAGTGTAGTTACAGGATGAGAGCTACGCTCGTGGTGTCCCGTCTTCCCAGCACTCTTTGTCATATAACGCTTTGAAACTACTGACGGTCTTGGCCTCCACCACCTTCTCACTTAACTTGTTCCAACCGTCTACCACTCTATTTGCGAAGGTGAATTTTCTTATATTTCTTCGGCATCTGTGTTTAGCTAGTTTAAATCTATGACCTCTTGTTCTTGAAATTCCAGGTCTCAGGAAGTCTTCCCTGTCGATTTTATCAATTCCTGTAACTATTTTGTATGTAGTGATCATATCACCTCTTTTTCTTCTGTCTTCTAGTTTTGGCATATTTAATGCTTCTAACCTCTCCTCGTAGCTCTTGCCCTTCAGTTCTGGGAGCCACTTAGTAGCATGTCTTTGCACCTTTTCCAGTTTGTTGATGTGCTTCTTAAGATATGGGCACCACACAACAGCTGCATATTCTAGCTTTGGCCTAACAAAAGTCATGAACAATTTCTTTAGTATATCGCCATCCATGTATTTAAATGCAATTCTGAAGTTAGAAAGCATAGCATAGGCTCCTTGCACAATATTCTTTATGTGGTCCTCAGGTGATAGTTTTCTATCTAGAACCACTCCTAGATCTCTTTCTTTATCAGAATTCTTTAAAGATTTCTCACATAATATATAGGTTGTGTGGGGTCTATGTTCTCCTATTCCACATTCCATAACATGACATTTATTAACATTAAATTCCATTTGCCAAGTGGTGCTCCATATACTTATTTTGTCCAGGTCTTTTTGAAGGGCATGACAGTCATCTAAATTTCTTATCCTTCCTATTATCTTAGCATCATCAGCAAACATGTTCATATAATTCTGTATACCAACTGGTAGATCATTTATGTACACAATAAACATCACTGGTGCAAGAACTGAACCCTGTGGTACTCCACTTGTGACATTTCTCCATTCTGATACATTGCCTCTGATTACTGCCCTCATTTTTCTATCAGTCAGAAAATTTTTCATCCATGATAGAAGCTTACCTGTCACCCCTCCAATATTTTCCAGTTTCCAGAACAACCTCTTATGTGGAACTCTGTCGAAAGCCTTTTTTAGGTCCAGATAGATGCAGTCAACCCAACCATCTCTTTCCTGTAATATCTCTGTGGCTCGATCATAGAAACTGAGTAAATTCGATACACAGGATCTTCCAGATCGAAAACCATACTGTCTGTCTGATATTATATCATTTCTCTCTAGGTGTTCTACCCATTTAGTTTTGATTAGTTTTTCCAATACTTTCACTATTACACTTGTTAATGATACAGGTCTATAATTGAGGGGGTCTTCCCTGCTGCCACTTTTGTAGATTGGAACTATGTTAGCCTGTTTCCACCCGTCTGCTACGATTCCTGTACACAGGGATGCCTGAAAGATCAGGTGAAGTGGAATGCTGAGCTCAGATGCACATTCTCTCAGAACCCATGGTGAAACGCCATCTGGGCCAGCTGCTTTGTTCTTACCGAGCTCCTTGAGCATTTTTTCCACTTCGTCTCTAGACACCTCTATGTGTTCTATGTTGTTCTCTGGAATTCTTATTGTATCTGGTTCCCTAAAGATTTCATTTTGTACAAACACACTTTGGAACTTTTCGTTTAGTGTTTCACACATTTCCTTTTCATCTTCCGTGAATCTATTTCCCATTTTCAACCTCTGAATATTATCCTTTACCTGCAATTTGTTGTTTATGAATTTATAGAATAGACCTGGTTCTGTTTTACATTTGTCCGCAATCCCTTTTTCAAAATTTCTTTCTGCCTCTCTCCTCACTGCCGTGTAGTTGTTTCTCGCATCTTTGTATCGCTGGTATGTTTGGGGGTTCGGCCTCTTCCTGTATTGATTCCATTTTTGTGTCTTTCGGTCTCTAGCCCTCTCGCAATTTCTATTGAACCAATCCTGTTTCCTAGTTCTGCATCTCTGTTTTGGTATAAATTTTTTTGTGCCTTTATCATATATTTCACAAAACTTGCCATACATCTCATTCACTTCCTTGCCTAGCATCAAGTCTGTCCAATTATACTCACTAAAAAAATTTCTAAGGTCACCATAATGTCCTCTCCTGAAGTCTGGTTTTTCAACTGCTTCAACCTCCTTATTTTCTTCCAGCTTATAACGCATTGCATACTTTATTCCCAAAAAGACATGGTCACTTTTACCCAAGGGAGGAAGGTACTGAATGTCAAATATCTCTTCCTCCTTCCTGGTAAATATCAAATCTAGCATGGAGGGAACGTCCCCTTCCCTCATCCTCGTAGCTTGTTTAACATGTTGATACAAGAATGTTTCCAGGATGAGGTCTACAAATTTACAGGTCCAAAAATCTTCTGTTTTAGCTTCATATGCTTCCCAGTCTATGGATTTCAAGTTGAAGTCACCGACTATCAACAGTCGTGATCTATCGTTATCCGCTCTCGCTATAATCTCTCTCATTATTGTTATAAGACCTTCACGTTTACTATCTAGCTCCTCCTTTGACCATGTGCTGCTTGGCGGTGGACTATATGCATTTATCATCATTAGTTTATCATCCTCATAGCAGATCTCTAGTGCTATTATGTCAACTTCTTGTGGATTGGCAGTCATTATTTCCTTCACCTTTAGGTGTTCTTTTACCAGCACAGCAACGCCACCGCCTTTCCTAATTTTTCTGTCCCGTCTCCAAATTGAGTAGCCCCTTGGGAATATGACCTCATTTAAAATTACATCTTCAAGTTTTGTCTCCGTGAGTGCAACAATGTCTGGTGTCTGCAGCTGTATTACATCACTTAACTCCAGTATCTTCGATCTCACTCCATCTATGTTGGTGTATGCAATCTTCAGGAACTTGTTCCCCCTCTCCTTATTCTTCACTCCCCCTCTCTCTATTGATTTTGTTGGTTTGCCTTTATGTACCACTTTACTGGTTTGCCTACCCCTATCACTTTGTAGAAAAAAGAATTTATTTCTTCTTCATTCCTGCTCTCATTTAAATGTTTTGCCTCGGCGAGGTTCAGTTTCAGCTTCTCTCTATCTTCTTTTGAAAGATCTCGTCTTAATGACCACCCTTTCCCATCCTCATCCCTTTGCAATTTTCTAGCATTCCTTAGTACTTCTTCCATCTGTTTGGCACCGTTTAGGGTGATCCTCAAAGGTCGATCTTTCCCTTTTACGTACCTGCCTATTCTCCTGTAGTCGCACACATTCTCTCTGTTTGTAAGACCTTCCACGAGGCCAACAATTTTATCTACTACTTTAGCTTCTTCTACAGCTCTTTCTGACCTAGATGTTATCGCCTTTTCTTTGCAGCCAAAAATGATCAGGGACGTGTGTGTGTGTGTGTGTGTGTGTGTGTGTGTGTGTGTGTGTGTGTGTGTGTGTATATATATATATATATATATATATATATATATATATATATATATATATATATATATTTTCCAAGGGGTTTCAAGGGGTTGTCATAGCCAGGGAGTGGTAATGGGGGACGAGCTCCCATGACCTATAAAATGCTCCTTTACGGCATGCGTCTCCAATAACCTCTGACAACCAAGTTCAACTCCTGGCCTGCACGGGTGGCTTAGTCTTTAACCCTTAAATGGCGCATTGCTATACACCATTTGACACCCACAGGCGCATAAAAAAAAAAAAAAAAAAAAAAAAAAAAATTCTTCCTAACCTGTTAATTTGTGTTCACTAATCATGGGAAAAATAATAAAAAGAATAAAAAGATCATAAGTGGTATATATTGCCCACTATAGGGCAGGGAAGGCTGGTAAAAAACAGGCGCTGACTCAGCGTGCGTCCTAGGCGGTCTGTTGCTCGCCAGCTGTCAGGCCAGAGTTGCCACAAAGAAATAATTACCTAATTATTTCAATGTCTGATTGATTTTTTGTAGTTTTTTTTGCTGTAATATTATTCAATAGTGTGTAGTGTGATATATTTATATAATAAAATGAGTGAATCATCGCTGTACTCAAAAATATGGTGTGCATATTGTTGATTCAATTATGTTCATCAAACAGTGAACAAATACTTTGTCGGTTATTACACCATATATACAGGTTATATATAAGTATCTGCATGTTTTGTTCACCATAACGAACCACTAAGTTGGCATGCTGAGTGGCAGTGCCAGTGGCAGCCTACCACTGGCTGCTACTTCATATGATGCGATGCGCAATTTAAGGGTCAAGTCCGGCGGAACTGCTTTTACCGACAGGAGAAGGGGCGAGGGCGTGCCTCTGGCGCCTTAAAACCAGCTGCTCCGGGTAGATGGGACTCGATAGCCTGGGAAGGCAGCCCATCTAGGGGAAGGAAAACCCCGATTTTAAACCTCCAATGCCTTGTGGCCATACCCCTTTTTTGAGAAAGGCTTCACGAGTCAACCTCGAGGAAAAATCCGGAGTTGAAGCCCCTAAGGCAGTTCATTGTTGACGTCGACCTCGTTCTGGCAGCTCCTGTGACGTTGCTGGAACCATGTGTATTGGCATTTGCCAATTGGATAATTTCAGCATCGTGGAGAGGGGGGACCTGCTGCATGGGTAACAGCTTCTCCTCCATATCTACCTACCCAGGCTTTGCGCCCATGCATCTTTCTGACATTTCTTAACGAGTACCAGTATGCTTTATCAGTTAAAAGAGAAACCAAAATGGGAAATATTTCTTAAATTCACAGCATACTACTGAAAATTGGACTGACCTTGAGCCAAAGAAACATTCCTCCTGTAGGTACTGACCACTCACAAAGACCTGCAAATATACATAAAACTTCTATAGGAAACATGCAATGTTCTCCATACTCTACTACTTTAAAATTTTAATATTCTTTGTAATATTTATTTTATGATTATTATTAATACATCCAACAACAAAAACTAGCACTGAATATAATGAAATGCCATTTTCTGGGTGAGACCTGGAGGCTTCCCTGAGCTATTCAGGCTGATATGAATGTATTAAACACTTACATAAGTCAATGTGCATAGAGTTCTAGGCCTATCGGGGACAACGAGCCAAAACCTGGCCCCCTCAGAAGAGGCACGAGGAGCAATGGCCAATAGAAACCCCTCATGTGGTTGGAAGCACTCCGTGTTTGCCATTGACTGGGTCAGGCACCCAAAAAGGTAAGCGCCCCAAAACAAACTCCTATTCTGGTTAAAATATTGTTACTGAAAGCCGAACTAATGAACAGAAACTCCCTAAATGAAAACGAGCAAATGAGCATGACGTCACCATGCCGCAGTCTATGCAACGTTCCCCTCCCCGGAAGGGAGAAGAGGAAGCTCCAGACCCACGTGCCAGCTATCCACCCTGCAGTTCTGAGGCTGGATGTCCAAACACACGAAAAACCGCCGACTGGAGGAAGAGGGGGTTGCCGGGAAGCTTTATGATCTCACTCAGAAAAAAGCATTTCATTACATTCAATGCTGGTTTTCTGGGGGAATCCCTGTCGGCTCCCCAGAGCTACTTACCCAAATATAACACAAGAGAAACAAACCCGGGAGACGATCGCCAACACAGTAAACTTACGAATGACATGGGCACGAGGACAGACTGCAGGTGGGCCGGACCGAAGTACGTACCTAGCGGACGACCAAGGAGACCCGATCCCAAGAACAGGGAAGAAGGGAAACGGGATCAACCCAAAGTAAGTCCCTAGCCACCGACGCCGTAGCGTGCAGGAAACAGTGGAGAGCAGCAAATGGACACAACACATGATGTATCCCCGGCCTGAACAACCAAGCATCAAAGACCCAAGGAGCACTCCGGAAAGCAGCAGTCACAATCCACGCCAGAAAAGAAGGAGACGGCTACAAACCTACCACCAGGACTGAAAAAGAAGAAACCCCTGCACCGGAGGAGAGCACGAAGCTCCCCGACCCGACCCCCAGAGGCCAATGCGAACAGAAAAAAAGCCTTGGGAAAAACAATCCGGAACCAAAGGAGCCACCACAAACTGAGGAGAAGAGAAAGAAGAGCACCTGATCCAACAACCGGGACGTCATAGGCGGAGCATGAGCAGGCCAGAGGTGAAACAATGCACACGAAAGCTTGCAGAATGGTGCAGAAGAAACAACGCCGAACACAAGCAGCAGCAACTCCGCCAGTACCGCACGATACGAGGGAACAGTATTCAGCATAAGATGACAGTCCTGAAACAACCATGAGAGAAAGGACAAGACAACCCGAACAGAGCCAGAAGTAAACCAGCGAAGGGACAAGAAATAACAGAAAGACAGCCACGAAACTTCAACCACCGTGCTGCGCCGAATTTATTATGAAATTTCCCCAGTGCGCATGAAATAAAGTGTTCCCAAAAAATTCTTTTTTCTTTGTAAAATGATAAATTCCCTTCCCTGAACATGTCTATGTAAAAATAAATACCAAATTTCACTTACTTTGACTGTGGGGACGTGGACAAGGTGCGCTGTGACGTTATCAGGGCCTGGTCGCCCATGCGCGAATCGCCCAGACACAGTTGCGCGGGCCATTCAAGCATCGGGTGTTGTATCCTCACAATCCCAATGTATCCTCACAATCCCAATGTACCTTCTTGTTACGATATTGTAATCCCCCACTTTGTGAGGGAGTAGTAAGTGGTAAGCCAAGAGTTGAGCAGCCAACTTGATATGGACGGTTGGTGACGCCAGGATAGAATATTGGATTGCTACCAGGTTGTAGCAGCTTGGAGTGTTGTATTATATTATTTTCATTTCTTTTTATGTAGTGTATTGTATATGTTCTTTTGTTTATTAAATGTGTATTATTAGTTGGATTTTGCTCGTCCTGGTGAGGATTCCCAGAAAGCAGGAGAGAGAAAGGATCATAGCTGCGGACAGGGTGGTAGAGAACACTAATTCGTAAAGGGGAAATTAAGGAGATCATTCCAAACAAGGAGAGAGTGGGGAGTCATGGCGGCTCAAGTAGAGCGAGTACACAGGACAACGTGGCCAGTGTTGGAGCCGCACTCCTAGATATGTGATGCTGAACCCCTCTCAGCATCACCGTCTACCCGATGGTAGCGGGAGTGTGGCTGTCGAGGGCAGTTGTCCGTTTCGGCATAGTGGTTGGGGCAAGTTGTCTGCCATTATGCAAGTAACAGTATGGTGCAACAACCAGAGCTCTCTTTGGAGGTTTAAGTTCCATTAGCCCCAACCCCTTCAGGTCAGAACACAAGTCACCCGAAACGACCAGCCACAAAGTGCCAAGAACCTCATCGAAACCCACGGTTCAAGAAATGAACCACCAGGGAGCAGTTCAAATGGAGCCTGATCGTAGATCCACGAGTGACCCGAACCCACCGGAGAGACCCGAACCCACCGAAGCGACATCCACACCGCCGCAAACTCTCATACTGTGGTGTCGGCCCAATGGAAGGACGAACCCCAGCGCCCAAGGCTGGCCTGGTGAGCATTGGTCACAAAGCTCCAGACAAGAGACGATGCATCTATGAACACATCAAGTAAGGGCCTGGGTAGGCGCCAAGGCACTGAACCCAAAAAAACCTGAAGAGGAAGCCAGGGACCCAGCAGCAGACGCAATGCCCCCCAGAGGCCTGGTTTCCTGGTTGATACCTGGTTGATGGGGTTCTGGGAGTTCTTCTACTCCCCAAGCCCGGCCCGAGGCCAGGCTCGACTTGTGAGAGTTTGGTCCACCAGGCTGTTGCTTGGAGCGGCCCGCAGGCCCACATACCCACCACAGCCCGGTTGGTCCGGCACTCCTTGGAGGAATAAATCTAGTTTCCTCTTGAAAATGTCCACGGTTGTTCCGGCAATATTTCTTATGCTTGCTGGGAGGACGTTGAACAACCGCGAACCTCTGATATTTATACTATGTTCTCTGATTGTGCCTATGGCACCTCTGCTCTTCACTGGTTCTATTCTGCATTTTCTTCCATGTCGTTCACTCCAGTACGTTGTTATTTTACTGTGTAGATTTGGTACTTGGCCCTCCAGTATCTTCCAGGCCGTACCTAGAGGTCGCATAGGAGGCAGAAGGGAAGGCCCCGAAGGAAACAGTACACCCGACGAAGCCAAAACCAACCCAGCGGGTAAACCATCAAGGCAAAGTTCAGGCTCCCACACAAATCCTTGAGCAACCGCCGAGTGACCCTGGAGCTTTCCAGAAACACGCACAGGGGGGACCGCAGCCCAAGCAAAGACTCTGGAGGGAAAGACAAGGAAGTCTGAACCTGAGAGAGAACCAGATGCTACCTCCGCCAGTTCACCAGGAACCTGAACCAGGCGAGCTGGGAAAGAACTAAATCCCTGGAGAGCAGACACACGGATTGGCTTGGAGCCCACACCAGCCAGTCGTCGAGGTAGGCCAGCACCCGTACACCTAATAGACGCAGACAAACCATCACAACCCAGGTGAGGTGTGTGAACACGTGAAGTGCCAGGGTCAACCTGAACGAGACAACAAAAGCGGTAACTGAGATGCCCCACAACAAAACCAAGCCAGGTCCCTGAATCCTGGATGAATCGAGATGTACCGATACGTGTCCTGGAGGTCCAGGAACACCATCCAAGCACCCAGTTCCAACAGAAACCGGACCTGAGACAGAGTAGTCATCCGAAAGGAAGGGCAAGAGACCCAGGGGTTCAGATGGGACAAGTCCAGAATGAACCGCAGGTCTGCACAGTCTCTTTTCGGTACTGGGAACAAACGGGAAACCCACTCGAGGGACGCCGTCTTTTCGACCATGCCCAAGTGCACCCACTCCGAGATGACCTGAGAGAGTGCAGGAGAAGAGGTCTGCACCGCAAGCCCTGAATCTCCCCGAAGGAGGAGGGGCCACCCAGTGCCACAGCAGGCCATGAGAAACAACCCGAAAAGCCCACAAATCATGAGACCAGGCATGAGTGTACAGTGCGAGCCTCCCCCCGCCCCCCCCATTGCCCCGTCAATGGGATGAACCGCAAAGGACCAACGCCCCTTACGAGAACCCGACTTATGCACAGAGCAATCACCACGCCGACCAGACAAAGACGGGTCCGAAGGGGGCGCTGGCTCAGGAACTGGCAACAGCAGCCTACCGTGATGAGAGGAACCTCGAGCCCTGGCATAACCATTCCTGAAGGAACCCCCCACCCCTTGGAACCCTGAAGAACCAACAAGTCCGACAGCGGGCGACAACTAGAAGAAGCTGCCCACAGATACTGCCCAACCGCAGACTCTGCAAACAGCAAGGGACAAAAGGGGGACAAAAACGTAAGAGCCAGGGCCCAAGCAGATTCCAACGAAGAAGCGAGCACCCCCTGCCAACACGTGAGACTCGAAGCGAAAAACAGCAACGCCGCATCCCACAGGATCAGCGCAAACAGCTTCAACAGCGTAGATGATACACACGCTGCCAAGACCAAGGCAAAAGAACCAGGAACGGTCCTAATTTCTTCCCCATCCTCCTCAAGGCAATCTGAAGACAGCTCCAGGAGGGAAAAGGACTGCAAGACCGAAGCCAGCAGGCCACGAGCACAGAAGTCCTCAGCAACCAGTGCAGCCGAAAGGAAGGGAACCTGCACGTGAAGCTGCACAACGCCAACATCCCACTGAAGGTCAGGAATGAACAAACACGCATTGAGGTGCTCAAACCGGCCCCCCCCCCCCCCAGGAACCTGGACAACCATAAGCGCCTCGCGCCACTTAAGAGTGCGGGTATGACAGAGAGTACTCCAAGCATCCAAAGGGCAGTCTGCTAGCCAGGACAACTCTGGAACCTCATAACGAACCCAGTAGGGAGATGAAGA